AATAAGTCACAAAACAAATAATCAAAACATTTCAGAGATGGTGGCGCCAAAAGTATCTTTGCCTCCGGGTGCTGAGAACCCTTGCTACGCCACTGGCTAGGATATTCTATAAGGAGTGATTTGGCCTATAAAACAACAGTAAATTGTATTTGAAACATTTAATCCGTCCTTGTCTAGTATATTTATTTTATTTATTTCACATTTTAAAATTACAATGCCATTTTGACATGTTAGGTATTTTAGGAATAATGAAAGGATTAATTATAAAGTCTGGTCAGCTCAAGACTTTTTCAATGATTTATTACCAGAGTTCCCGTGTAAGTTTTTTTTTTTTAATAGAAATAGAACCGTATTATCTCTTGACTTAGCTTACAGTACCTAACCTATACCAACTGGAGTTATACCAGCCTTACAACGGTAAATCCGTATTGGGAACGATGACGTCGTTATGTCTTAATGTGTTAACAAAACGATAGGGGAATACTTGGAAGACTGCGTTACCATGGTTATACTTTTGCAGCTACTAAGCAACATAACAGTTTATATCAAGCAACCTTTGTCAATCATAGAGATAATTCATACGACAAAACTCGGAATTCAGCTCGTACATCGTTACCAAGGTTACACACACATCCTGTATTTACCACTCAAGGTACCACGATGTAACGCAGGAAAACCATCTGTTGTAATGGCAAACGTATAAAGCATAAACGTCTACTTAAAATGCGAACTTTTTTAAATTCATTTGTAAATTTGAATATGGTTCTCGGCGTGTTATAAAATATATAAACCTAAACTAAGTGTGTATAATAATGTATATGCTAATTTAACACAATAAAATATACATATGCTTGTTTTTTCTAAGTTTATTAAGGGCGTATTTTCCAGGGATTACACCTTCTTGGAATTTAATTTGTTGTTGTTGTTGGTGGTGGTGGTGATTTTTTAGCGAAAAGCTACACAATGGCCTATTTTAGCATTGTGAATACAGAAACGTACCGATGACCCAACGGGAGCGGGAACTATGGAAGAGTTAAAAACTATTTTATGAACAAAACAACAACAACAACAAAAAAAAAAAACACGTACCAATCAACCCTTAGTTTAAACTTGAATTAAAAGTGAATATTCGCCGTACACTTATGAACAACAACAACAAAAACACGTACCAATCAACCCTTAGTTTAAACTTGAATTAAAAGTGAATATTCGCCGTACACTTATGAACAACAACAACAAAAACACGTACCAATCAACCCTTAGTTTAAACTTGAATTAAAAGTGAATATTCGCCGTACACTTATGAACAAAAAAAAAACACGTACCAATCAACCCTTAGTTTAAACTTGAATTAAAAGTGAATATTCGCCGTACATTTATGAACAACAAATACAAAAACACGTACCAATCAACCCTTAGTTTAAACTTGAGTTAAGAGTGAATATTCGCCGTACACTTATGAACAACCACCACCACAACAACAAAAAACACGTACTAATCAACCCTTAGTTTAAATTTGAGTTAAGAGTGAATATTCGCCGTACACTTATGAACAACAAAAACACGTACCAATCAACCCTTAGTTTAAACTCGAGTTAAGAGTGAATATTCACACCAGGAAACAACAAATTGAAGTTCTTCTACAACACGTCCGTCTTTCACAAGAAACAGTATTGAACTGATGACGTCATATATTAACATCCACTTGTCAAATCATTCCAACAGGACCGCGTTATGCTTAACCAGACTACACACACTAATCTAGACTCCAGATATATGTCTGCTTAGAAGTTAATATAAAACATACACAAAATCATTCCATTACCCAATATCCACCATAACAATTAACTTATTGTTCATAAAAAAAACTGATAAACGTATTTAAATCAATATACTACTCAAGTATTTGCTTAACAAATACCCAATTATGATGTTTTGTTTCGTTCAGACATATTTATCCAATCAACTATTTGTATCTAATAATAATTGTTTTTGTCAAGTTTCTGCCACATAGGGATTGAACATGGCCTAATGGTTAACGTGCTGGAGTGAATCCGAGAGTCCAATAGTTCGGAATTGAGATAATTAGATATTACCGGTGAATTATTTCTAATCTATCAGTTCAAAATAAGGGGTGTTTAGAGATAGTTCTTGTGTATCTTTGTGCAAATATATAATTCCGTGTTGACCGCTGGTTACTATTAATTTTAGATGTATATTACATATATAATATTGAAATCACCTTAGTAAAATCACTGTACTATTCAATAATCCTTTCGATAAGCCCGATATTTTCGTTGATTATGAATGACGTCATATTATGACGGTCCCGAATCATGTGTTGTATGGTGAGGTGTAGAAAGAGCGAACCGACTGTAAGCTAGTAGTTTCTGATTTTATTATTAGAACCAATAACAATGAAGCATCTCATAAATCTAAAAGTGTGAAAGGGAATGAAATATCGTTTTAAATTATTTAATACGATATCATTTAAACAAAAACACGAGAAGCCTAATCAAGAAGATTTTATCTTCACTAGGATGTTGACTGTCATAAGGCCAAACTAATTATTTCTAGATACGGTGGGAGAGGGGCCATTTACTTCTAGCTTCAACTTCCTAGGGGGAGCCTCAATCGCCTCACTGATTGTTATTATATTTCAACTGAAACATAACATAACTAAGGTGAGGTTAGATTATGCAATTTAATTATAGTACAATTTTGTTTGTTCATCCCACCCCCACCCACTGGTGATAAGGACGTATGGCATTCAGCAAGTTGCTCAAAATTGTTTGGCTGATTTTTATAAAAAAAATTGGCGGAACTATTAAAAGTAATCCATGGACCGATCGATTACATTTTGGTGATAGTAGGTCAAAGGTCAAGATCATAATACGGAGTCACATGTACAACCTAATACTTTTTTTCAATGGACTATGTAAATGAGCTTACTGATGCATCGGTAGTGCATTGGGTCCGTATCCTCAGATCGCCCCTCACTGGCATAGTGGTATGTCTGTAGACTTATAACGCTAGAAACAGATAGCTCTTGCGTAGCTTTGTGCTTAACTTCGAAACAAACAAACCCTTCAGATCTGTAACGCAAAAACCACGTTCTATAACCATTCGGTTATTTTTATTTTTGAACAGCTATTTCCAAATGACATTTAGAACCATCACTGGGTGCTAATGTATTTATACGTGTTTTATTATTTTTATTTTCAACTTTTAAGTTTGAATATAAACCGAACGAAAGTGATATGCGCCATGTCTATCTCCTCACTCAGTTTTACACGTGTGGGCAGGGTCTGCTCTATACGTGATGTTTTCTAGTTTTAATTGTATTGAAAAAGTAAACGTCGAGAAACTGAAAACCACAGTAATGACGGTCTTTAAATTGCATCTACGATCATTAGAGTTTAAATTCGTCAGCACCAGGCGTATGGCTGTTATTGGGTAATCATAAATCCTCGTAAACAAGGTGCATACAGGTTCTGCAAGGCGTAACTAAAGTATATGTACGTCATTGGTAACTCGAGAATTGCATGTTAACACTATCTCGTTACATGTTTTGTCAGAAGGAATTACAAAGATCATGAAAATAGAAGTCAGTACCCCTACACCCTCTCCTGTGACCAGTAGCGTGCAGAGGGGGGGGGGGGGCGAAAGGTGCCGGGGTCCCGGACATCTATACCGGGAGGGCATATAATGCAACGAGTCGTATCGAACAGTATAACCCTTACCGCCCTTCCCCAAGGTCTTAGGTACAAGGCCCCGGGCATCATTGAACCTCTTCACGCCACGACCACAAAAATCTTCCATTTTTTTTTGTCATCCGTAGCTAAAAATCTCCCACTTTATATTCGAGTAGAATGTTTTATTCGATTATATTATTCTATAACTTTCAATCTATAATTATACGCGTTTTACTATCTATTAAAATGTTTTTACTATTGGCCACACTATAAGTTGAAATTATCGGTACTGACTATTACAGGTTGGGAGTTGTCACAATTTATGACACATAATGACAACTTTCACATTGGTAAGAGATATAGATGTAGGTACCTCGGCATACACCTAACGATACTGATCCTAGTTAACCCTAACCAATACTAATAAACCATATTTAACACAGAGACTGATCCTAGTTAACCATAACCAATTCTAATAAACCATATTTAACACAGAGACTAATCCTAGCTAACCCTAACTAATTCTAATAAACCATATTTAACATAGAGACTAATCCTAGTTAACCCTTGTCAATTTTAACAAACCATATTTAACACAAAAACGAATGCTAACTAACCCTAACCAATTCTAACAAACCATAGTTAACACATAGAATCATCTTAGCTAACCATAACCAATTCTAACAAACCATAGTTAACACATAGAATTATCTTAACTAACCCTAACCAATTCTAACAAACCATATTTAATACATAAGATAATCCTAACTACCCCTAACTAGTCCTAATAAGCCATATTTAACACATAGACTAATCCTAACTAACCCTAACCAATTCTTACAAACCATACTAACGCATGAACTAATCCTATCTAACCCCAACCAATTCTAACAAACCATAGTTAACACATAGACTAATCTTAATTAACCCTAATCCATTCTAACGAACTATAGTTAACTAATATAATAATCCTAACTAATCCAAACTTTAAGCATTTCTAATACTACATTTAACAAAATGTGTAAAGTGTGGTCCTTGATCTGTAAATACGTGAGTTAAATGAATGGAGATTAAGAATATTTGTGTAATTTCTCCCCAGGAACATTATCCGCCGACGTCGTCATTTCAAAGTGACATTATAAAGTTAACGAAACTAGTTGAATGCTGACATACAGCGCTAGAAATTGGGTTTCGATACCCATTGTGGGCAGAGCACAGATTGCCCATTGTGTAGCATTGTGCTCAACTCGAAACCTAACGTAACTTGTTAATTTTTTTTTCATCTCCATGTTACAACCGGGATCCAAGGTTACCCAGATCACAAAACCCTCATTATTTTCCTCGCACAACATTATGAAGTAAAATATCCTTCTTATCCTTGAAATTGTTTTAATTCTACCTGTAATTTCTGAGCACGAAGAGGGAGCATTCAGTGGGGTTATCCATTGCTGTATATTCCGTATGTTCATCGAAATTACAAGATTTTCGTGACGCCATCTAGAATATTCTAGGTATTCTAAGACTAAAGTCATTCTCCCCCTAGCTAATATTTTAACTGAAACATTAAAAACACATATAGCTTACGAAACTTTGAAGGGACAGTGGCCCTTTGATCTCGTTAAGTAGGCCTATTTCAATCAACAGGAATTTGGTCTCAAATTGGTCGCTGATTTACTAAAACTTTCCTAGTGACTAAAGCCAGAAAGAAAAAAAAATGACTCAGGATTACTATAGTGTTACACGATGTCTGGAGCTCGACAAGTTCACAAATGATCGGTTACATTGAGTTAGAAAACCTCACTATAGAGTGGCTAACTTCCTGAAAAAAACAACCAACCAAAAATACACTATCTATGACACTGCCTATAGACAGATATTTATATTATAATCGTCTACATATTGTCCTAATTTTGAAAAGCTTTAGCACTGAGTAGGCTTTACCAACCATTGTCGATCGTGTCAAGAATGTTTGTGCCTTAAATTAACTTAAATCAATATAGCTTAACCTTACAAAACAAAAACAAATAAACAAATCTTACAACAGTATTTAAACTAGGGGTTGTATACGTCCAGACGAAACGAGGCATAAAAATTATTTTCAGGAGTTCATGGTCATTTGTTTTTATATACTAGTTTTAGTTGGATCGACACTCCAGTTTAAGAAGTAGTATGACAGATACTGAACGCTCAAATAATTAACCAAATATTTACATTCAAACGTCCTGAGTGTTTTAAGTTCTGACCAGTGTCTCAAGTTCCAAAGTGAGGGTATACTACCTAAACTCAACCTAAAAAGGTATCCGCAGTGTGTGTGTCAGTATTAACCATGACAATATTACATAAATTATCTTTAAAAGATATATAAGATAATATTGTAGTAGGCTATGTTTTTTAATTTAGATATTTTGTATTGTTGTTTGGCCAGAAGTAGTTTTTGCACCACGTAATAAGCGTGGCTTAATGAACAAATCTTCTTGAAAGCTTATGAAACCATTAGAATCACATAAAAAGAAAGTTAAGCTTGAGTAGATGGATATGGATCATTGAGTAAGTCAATTAATATGAATACTGAGTTAGCGAATTTATTATATGTTTGTCTGTTCCTGTTTGGCAATTGGTCAGTTCAATTTTGTGAACATAGGGTTTGTTCGCAAGCAAAAATTACCAAATAAATTAATAACTATATTATCGTCTACTGTGAATGATATTTCGTAACTTCGGAAAATGACTCAAGTTTCAAAAATCCACTGTATTTAATATATTTAACTCAACTTTATTGTAATTAAAACCGAAAACAAAATTATTACTGCTATTCGTAGCAATCCTTAAAAAGAATCCTTCTCTAAGTGCGTGCTGTACACTGCGGAGAATCGAGCCCCGGGTTTAGCGTCTTAAGTCCGTAAACTTGCTGCTTAATGGCAATATTTGATAAAGATATACAATAATTAACAGTTACATAATACGTTAAAGATTGCATTTGAGCTCCTTGAGAAGGTAATTTGATTATAGGTAAAGATTAAGTGCTCCTAACATTGTATAAATAGATAAACTTAGCATTTGCAAGACAATTCCTTAAAAACAGATTTTTTTTTATCACAAATGTGAAACAAAGTCCATTTTGTAATTTTCACGTATCATCATTATACCCATTAACCTTGTCTTTAAAAAAACAACCAAAAATATATTTTAGTTAGCGAGACTTGAAAAAATATAGATAAAATTAGAAAAATAAAATTGTGCTGTTGTCAAAATCAACATGAAATTATTATTTTTTGTTTACACTACCGTTAAATAAAGTTAATATTTCTTGTTTAACTAGTCACAGTAAATAAATCAAAGATAAAACTTGCATTATCTAAACTGCTACAGCTCTATCAATATTAGTCTGCAGGTGTGGAAGACAAAGGGTAAGAGCATGATAATCTCCGACTTTCAAAGGGCAGTTATAGAGAGTACTCACTTAACAGAAGTATCATTATTAAATATCATTTCTTTGGCCTCTTGTTTAAAGACATTTATTAAATGAGTTTATGAACAGCGGCAAACAAAAGGAAATACTATGGCCTTAAACGGATGGTGCCAGACTGAGGGAAGAGCGACTATTCAGGCTTTTACATTACAACAGACGTCAAAATGTGTCACAACTGGTTGGGTATTTTTCAATGTTCGATCGGGTTCGAAGCAATGAAAATTATAACATTGTAAAATCTGTCACATTGATGTCGAAAAGAAGTCCAAAAATCACTTATCTTAGAAGTAAAGAAGAAAATGCAGTTTCAGTGCTGGTTATATAGAAAACTTCAGACAATGTAAGGTCTGATTAGTCGCACTTTACCCTCCCCTATATTGATGTAAGTGTAAAAAATATATAGAAATTTATATAGTGCATCTAACCTTCTACTAACTTTAGGACAGTTAAATGAAGCGTAATGGTGGTGGTGGTGGTGAGGGAACATTTGAGGAAGGGATTGAATTTTTTGATGCCTTTACAAGGGTAAGTAACATTTAAAGTGTGCCTCAAACATCAAGTGGCTTCAGTCACCTTCCTTGGCCAGCATAACCAGGTTAGCTAAAACATCAAGTGGCTTCAGTCACCTTCCTTGGCCAGCATAACCAGGTTAGCTAAAACATCTTTCAGCATCTTGTATAGTCTAACGTATCTAGGAAGTGTTTAGATGTGTTTAGTGAGCCTGTGTTGTGTAATCTAACTATCGTTTAGATGTATTTAGTGAGCCTGTTTTATGTAATTTAACCATAGTTTAGTTGTGTTTAGTGAGCCTGTTTTATGTAATCTAACTATCGTTTAGATGTGTTTAGTGAGCCTGTTTTATGTAATTTAACCATAGTTTAGTTGTGTTTAGTGAGCCTGTTTTATGTAATTTAACTATAGTTTAGATGTGTTTAGTGAGCATGTTTTATGTAGTCTAACTATAGTTTAGATGTGTTTAGTGAGCCTGTTTTATGTAATTTAACTATAGTTTAATTGTGTTTAGTGAACCTGTTTTATGTAATTTAACTATAGTTTAAATGTGTTTAGTGAGCCTGTGTTGTGTAATTTAACTATACTTTAGTTGTGTTTAGTGAGCTTGTTTTATGTAATTTAACTATAGTTTTGATGTGTTTAGTGAGCTTGTTTTATGTAATTTAACTATAGTTTTGATGTGTTTAGTGAGCCTGTTTTATGTAATTTAACTATAGTTTAATTGTGTTTAGTGAACCTGTTTTATGTAATTTAACTATAGTTTTGATGCGTTTAGTGAGCCTGTGTTCTGTAATTTAACTATGGTTTAGATGTGTTTAGTGAGCCTGTGTTCTGTAATTTAACTATGGTTTAGATGTGTTTAGTGAGCCTGTGTTCTGTAATTTAACTATAGTTTTGATGTGTTTAGTG